AGCCCGATGTGGGACTCGATCCCAGGACCCTGGGATCATGACCTGAGCCGAAGGCAGTCGCTTAACCAACTGAGCCACCCAGGCGCCCTATTTTTCTCTTTTTAAAATGACAGTGACGTCAAACTAAAGAAACACATTGATCAACCATCTCCCCTCTGTCTTCAAACTTATTTTCTTTCTGAAGAAAAATTCACAGAAATGTTATCTGGATTTTTTTTAATTCCCCAATTTTTTATATGAATGTCTTCATCATGTTATTGGAGATAAAGCCCATACTTAATTAGAATTTATCAGACAGTTGTTATATATGGCCCTCTCTCAGTTCTTTTTGAGAGATCAAAATAAGACTCCCATCTGACATCCCACAATAGTTACTGAAATTGTAGCTAAAATGCTGACATGGGCAGCTGACTTTGTACTGCTTACCTTGCAAAGCAGGGTCTGGAAACAGTTCTGATTTAATCTCATTGTACTGATTACTGTAAACTCCTTCCATGAGTAGGATAATAATTGCCCATTAATTGTTGTCCTGAAAGTGGTATAACTACAAAGAACCCATTAGCTAATAATATAAGATTGTCTTAAGTGTATGCATGTGTGCTGACATTTAAGAGGTTATCTGAAGTCAAGAATTGTCCATTTTTCATTGACTGTGTAGAGATATATGTAATGGTCTATTAAGATGGGGATATTACTCCTGTTGCAAAGAGGTGCTTAACAATGATTTTGTTTTTTATTTTATTGAAGTGTGGTTGACATACTATGTTACATTAATTTCAGATGTACAACACAATGATTCTGCAACTCTATGCATTATGCTATGCTCACCGCAAGTGTAGCTACCATCTGTCATCATACAACCCTATTACAATACCACTGACTGTATTCCCTATGCTGTACCTTTCATCCCTGTGACTTATTCATTCCGTAACTGGAAGTCTGTACCTCCCACTCCCCTTCCCCCATTTTGCTCATGCCCCCACACCCCTCCTCTCTGGCAATCGCCAGTTGGTTCTCTGTATTTATGGGTCTGTTTTTGCTTTTTGTTTGTTCATTTGTTTTGTTTTTTAGATTCCACATATAAGTGAAGTCATGTGGTATTTGCTTTTCTCTGCTTGACATCTTTCACTTAGCATAATACTCTCTAGGTTCATCCATGTTGTCACAAGTGGTATGATCTCATTCTTCTGTAAGGCTGAGTAATATTCTGACAATGCCTATTGTTATGCCATCATCACAACATCTGAGCAGAAAGATATGGGAATGTTGGCACCCCCAGACAGACAGACAAATCTACTTTTGAACCACCTGGATTTCATTTTGCAGTTATCATAAAAATGTATACCTTTGCTCAATTAGCTGGAATGCTGCATTTAAAAAAAATAATTTAAGATGGCAGTAATCAGAGGCAGATTACCTGAAACTAACTACCTGACAAGGGGATATCTCAGTGTCAAAATAAACTAGGAAATTAAGAAAAATTTATACTTGAATCTGAAGTTTTAACAGCTTGAATTTCAATATTCTGTCAACTGCTCCAGAATTGTTGGTATACTTACCTAGTATTAGGAACATAAGGGTAAACATATTTCAATATAATGTCAATCCATTTGCAATTTCCAAAAAGATACATCTGAATGGGTTTTGTACTATGAGATGCCTCCACAAAAATTCCTACAAGTGAGGTAACGGATTGCAGACCTGGATATATTCTGATTTTTCAAGAAGTAGAAATACTTTCAAATGAGATGTCTCACCTAGTGAGCTAGTATTAATTTGTTGATCATATTTCAAAAAGAAAGTTAAGATTCATCTTGGAATAGCAATAATGCTTTTATTGTGGTGAGCAGATTGAATCAGACACTAATAGTATAATTTGTAACAAGTTCTTATGTTTTCCATAGGTGGATAAGCGGAGCAGCTGTAGTCAATGCATTTTATTCTTCAGGCAGAAATCAGATAGGTAAGGCCTATTCGTAAATAATTCTTAAATATGCCTCTGTTGTTACCAACTGGTAGTGCATTGCATGTCCAATTTATAACACTCCCCATAAAAGCACAGCTGGGGCTGGGTTATTGATTTATTGAATATACTCCTTGAAAGTAAATGCATCCATGTACCTCTTTTCACTATAATGGCAAATTTTAAGTTAGTACAAATTACATTAAGTGATTTTCTTTCTTTTGCAATGTTCTCATTTGTGGCTAAGTGGTTTATCTTATGTCTAAGTGCTTTTATTTTATTTCTAAATACTTTTTAAACATCTCTTATAATTCCATTAAGTTATATTGACTTTAGGACTCCCTAAGCATCAGAATCTTAAAGGGGTTTAAGGTTCCAAGAACCAGCTTTGCAGAGATCCAGTTCTCCTGGCAATTCTGTAAGCTGGCTCTGGTGGAGATGGTCCTGATCTGTATCACCCATTTTTCTAGACAACTCCAGAAGGTCTCAGAAAGTTGAAAAGTTGGTTATATTAGGTTGAACCGTGTGAGATTGCATTTACTTAACTACTTTTAATCAAAAAAGAAAAAAATAAATCCTCACTAATAGTAATACTATAGGAATCTGTAGAAATTAATACATGAGTGAATGATATAATGAATAACTAAATGGCTTACTATAACAAAGATATATTGATTCTCTTCCTGGGAAGACCTTGAGATCTTTAAATTCTTTCTTAAGTATTACATAGCTAGACCCATTTTTTCCCAAGGATTTTAAATATGTGGAAAGGCACCCAACAGATTCAGTACTACTGAGGGTATACTAAAAACACTACAGTCAGCTTCTCCGGGTGCACCTAGTTCAGCCCTTCATTTCTAAGTGCAGTCAGGAATCAAAAGGGAAGATAATTTCAGCATTATTCTAAAACAAACATCTCAGAGGCTGCCCTGAACCTCATTTTTCATGAATTCTGTTACTAATTAGATTAGATTAGAAATGATGAAAAATCCTGCTAGATTTTTCATACAAATTTTAAAACAAATTATGACCTTTATTTTATTTTAAAGTTTGATTATAGCTTTCCCCATTGTTTTTAAACCTAGGAAGAGTTAAAGTAAGAAACTACCTACATTTTCTTCTAGTATTTTTATGGTCTTTATTTTTGGAGTAAATCTTTAATCCATCTGGAATTTATTTTGGTTCATGACATGAAAATGAATTATATAAAATAATCAGAAAAGTTTATTTATATAACGTATAAATAATAAGGAAGGCATGTGCACCTGTCAAAACCAATTAGCTCAAAGTCTAGGCTAATACATTTCCTAGCTAGTGCAGTGATTACCTAAACTCAGACCAGCACCTGTTTATTGATCAACTCAGAACCCATGCAGTCTATCTTTTGCAGTGTATTCCCAGAAACCATTCAGACCCTTTCTTAGAAGCATCTCTCTCTCTGCAAAGGCTTACCTTTGTTTTTTGTTTTGTTCTTTGAGAAAGAGAGAGAGAGCATGCATGTTCACACACGTGTATGGGGGTGGGAGGCAGGGAGTGGGGGGCAGGGACAGAAAGAATCTTAAGCAGGCTCCACACCCAGCACAGCGGGGCTTGATCTCATGACCCTGAGATCATGACCTGAGCTGAAATCAAGAGTCTGAGGCTTAAACGACCGAGCCACCTAGGTGCCCCCACTTTGAAGACTTCTTTTTGATATTCAGTAGTTCTGTCAGTGTAAGATCTAGTTCATTCTGGACTTGAACTTAAACAGGACAATGACCTTTTAATGGAATTCCAAGGCAAAGTGAGACAGCTTGGCCTTTGTTCTGTATTAGGATAGACTAAGGGATATAGCTTCATTTTAATCCAGCTCAGGAAGGACCCTGGATCCTATAAGACCTGACGCTGATTCATTCCAACAAGAAGACCCATACAGACCCTCAGTAGGACCACCCTGGCATGTTCATCTCTTCAGCCCCTCTGTAGAGCAGATCCACACAGTTTAGATCAAGACAGTACCTTGCTTGGCTCTGAATTACCCCATATCCCAAGAGCCAGCTCAAAATTGGTTCACCTCAGAGATTCCCTGATCAGAGAAGACCAGGGAATGTTCTCAGTTTGAACTTAATACCCTCAAACCAAAAGAAGCACATGGCAAAAGGAAAAAGAAGGTAAAAGTGGCCCAACATTTCACAAAATAGACAGTTATCCTCTGAATAATCAAGAATTGGCTACAATAAGCGTTCTTAATAAGAAAGACCTTTTAAAGACTCTCAAGATAAATTCATTAGATAGAAATTCGAAATCTGAAAAATTGTTAATGTCTTTTCATATGCTTATCTGCTAATAACAGCAGTTCAGAAGAAGGGAAAGTGTCATGCAAGAGGAGAAATCTTTGACATGTGTACATTTTCTCTTTGATAATTCTTTTAAATCTTCAAAGTGGAGATTGTCTTAACTAAAAATAATTGAAGATCCAGACCTCCATCTTTCTTCTTAATCTCAGGAAACAAACTGAGGGTTGCTGGAGTGGTGGGGGGTGGGAGGGACGGGGTGGCTGGGTGATAGACATTGGGGAGTGTGTGTGCTATGGTGAGCGCTGTGAATTGTGTAAGACTGATGAATCACAGACCTGTACCCCTGAAACAAATAATACATTATGTCAATAAAAAAAATTTTTTTTAATTTAGAAAAGAAGGAAATCCTTCAAAAAAAAAAAAGTGAATTTGTGGCTGTGCGTGTGTGTGTGTGTGTCTGTTTACATACATACAACTTTTAATTTTGATATCATGCATTATAGAATTAGAATTGGTATAGAATAGCATATGTCTCGGGACGCCTGGGTGGCTCGGTCAGTTAAGCATCTGCCTTTGGCTTGGATTGTGATCCCGGAATCCAGGGATCGAGCCCCGAATCAGGCTCCCTGCTTGGTGAGGAGTCTACTTCTCCCTCTGCCTCTCCCCCAGCTTGTGCTCTCTCTCTCAAATAAATAAATAAAATCTTTAAAAAAACAATAACATATGTCTCACAAGTGACCCTTCCATCCTCACACAAATACCTTAAATTAGATCACATGCAATTTCTCATGGGATTGGCCAAGAATTTCTTTGTTTTGGCAAAAAAGAACTTGTTTTATTATCATATTATCATATAAGGAGTTAATCATATTAATAATTTCTTCTTTTTAATTCAATTCCAACCACTTTTTGTTATAACTCACACAGATAGACTATATTCTAAATTTTATGCACCCCTGCCACTTCACATCAATTTAAAAAAAAAAAATCAATTTCCCAGACAGGAAGGCATACTGAAAGTGTTTAATTCACTGTCTCTTATTCCCCATACATTTGCTCCATAGAGCTTCAGAAACCTTCTATGGATTATTTAGTGTATTCAGCCTGGGTGGTGTATAACTAACTTGAAATAATTAAATTTTGTAAAGTTACCTTACTTGTTCTTAGGAGTCTTATTTTCAGACTTGAAAATCAAGAGCAAATGTTTCCAAACATATTGATATCCATTTAATGTAAAAAATAATATTTAACTTTTTCCACCCAAAATTGATTTTACCTGATGTCATCTAACTTTATATCAAAGATTCTAAAATTGAATTGTTTGCAGCCTTAAAAAACTAAACCAGGGAAGTGAAGGCATGGGAGATAGGAAGAAACATAATTTTTTGTTTCATGGACCAATGACTTATTTAATTAACTAACTTGTTGACAATCGTGAACATAAAAAATGTACAACTAAGCAGTTGGTTGTTATCAACAGTTATGAAGTCTACTAGTAACAGCAATAGGCTAATGGGGAAAATCCTCATCACTGAGATTTAGCTGACAGTGTAAAAGGAGAAATCATAATTTGCAAAGCTGAACTTGAAGATTAGTATTTAATATGAGCCATAAAAATCTTATCACTTGCCTGAAGAATGACATATCAGGATATGATTAAAGCTGCAGGACCTTTATAGTTAATGTTTAGTCCTGATAGCACATTTCACAAGAACATTTTATATAAAGAGTGGATTTTAATCAAAGTACATAGTGTGGGAGATAGTATTCACTTTAAGTTAATAAAGTACTGCACATAATTTTAATACTTTAAGCTAAAAATAATTTCCTGGCACTGTTGATAACTCAGGCAGCTACATGTGAGGTATAACTTTCATCAGAATCCTCCAAGGACAGCAGTATTTATTTTCTAATTATTTTGTCATTTGGATGTTATGGCAACTTCCCAGATTTTTTTTTTAAGTTCTGAAGAGCACTTAAATTGTCCAGCATATTTTTAAAGTCTCTTCTGTAAACCTCTAATATTTATCTTTGAAATCCATGCAAGGCTCAGCCATATTCTCCCCACCTGAAAGATAAAGAAACAACATTTGCTACTATGTGAATTAGATCTTAGATTTCTTAAGGTCAGGGCTCTTCTCTTGTGTTCTTGGAGTCCCACATAGTGATCCCTTAGGGCTTTATATGCAATAGGTGTTGATGCTAAAGATTTTTTTTTTTATTACAGAACATAATTCAGTAGATACTAGAATTTTAAAACATGAAAGATGAAATTGCTAAGTTATGAGCATTATGAGGGGAGGAGAGAGCATGAGGGAGATGAAGTAGAAGAGGACCATGGAGCCAAAGGCCAGGAAAAAGATGCCGTATTTAGTTGGAAAGCATCAAAGCCATCCTTTGGAAGGCTTTTTAGCAGGGGAGTGATAATGACCAAAGTTACACTTTAATCTGGCTGCAGGATGTATTAGATTTAGGATAGGTTATAGTTGGGTGAGACAGGAAATGGAAAGATCATGTAGGAAATCAAGTAATTCTTAAGACAAAGAATGATCATAGGAAGTGGGATGATGACAATAAGACTGATAGGAGGAAATAAACAGAAGAGATGCTCCTGGAAGGAAGGTACATGACCTGGTCTTTTCCTAAGTAGACTGTGTAAGACCTGGTAAAAAACAAATAAATAAAATACCTAAAAAATTAAAAAATGGGTATGTAAGAGAAGTAGAAAATGTTCATGTCAGGTGATTGAGACCCTTCAAATGCCACTAGTAGAAATAAAGTCAAGAGAGTGATGGCTTAGAAGAGAAAATGATGAGTTTGATGTTTGACACATGAAATTTAAAGTTTGTGAGACATCTAAGTGTAGAAAGCTAGCCAAGTTAATGCAGATGTCAGGGTAGACATAAAAAATAGGTGATTTATTTATTTAGTAGTCTCTGGGACACCCTGGTAAATTTATTTGCTCACTCATTTATCATTGATTATTCACCTATCAACATATTTCCTAAGCACCTATTATGTTCCAGGCACCATTCTAGTTTTAGGTGCTGGAGATAAAGAGTAAAAAAAACAAATGGGCTCAACAAATAAACAAACAAATATACCTATAGACACACAAATGTCTGCTCTCAAAGGACTGATATTTGAAGCGCTGGAGCAAGTGAGGATGATAAGAACGACAACAACCAAAAATGAGGAAATAAATAGCCATAGATGCCTTGTTGAAAATAACACAGGGCAATGTGGTTGGGGGATGCCTCCGATCGAGTAGTTCTGTTTATTTAACAAGTTATTGTAGATGGATAAAATGTTAGAGATGACATTAAAAGTGATACTTGTGTTATTTTTTTTAAAAAAGTAGTATTTGTGTTATTAAGTAACTGTTTCTCCCAAATATTTGCAGTGGGGAAAAGTCCTTCTGAGTGAAGATGATAATTTCCCCTAGCTCTAAACTCCTCATAGAGAAAAACAATCTTAGCAGAGTTTGTAAAGTGAATTGTGATTATAAATCATAGATCATGGTGCCGCTTTGGGATGAACTCTTTGTTGTCATCAATCATAAAAGACCTACATTTGTTTCATCACAGAAGATTTTTGTATACAATTAAGTGAAACTGACAAAACTGGAAAGTAGCTCAGCAGGCAGAAAGCCCAGCCCAGGCCTGCCATTAAAGAAGAATGCCACAAATCATCTTTAACCATCTTCTTTCCTTGTAGTCTTCCCAGCTGGCATTCTGCAGCCCCCCTTCTTCAGTGCCCAGCAGTCTAACTCATTGAACTACGGGGGTATCGGCATGGTCATAGGACATGAAATCACCCATGGCTTCGATGACAATGGTAAAGTTCAGCGGACACTTTCCTTTGGCTGAGACACATCCTAATAAAGCTGAATAGAGTTATTATACTTGATCAATACAAGAACACATTTAATCATCAGGGTATCATTGGCTAATAATCATACTTTTAACGTTCCCTTTAAATTGTTGCTTAGGAAGATTAGAAATGTCTAGTTGTAAGATGAGCAATGTGTGCTTTGCACTCTGACAGAATAACACAAATATTCACATTGAGAAAACACTGTGATGTTTGTCAACACCAATGATAATGTTTGGTCTTATTTCGTGATTGTTTACGTATTATCTATCTGGACTTCTAGAGGACAGGATTCATGTCTTAAAATCAGATGTAAAATCAAAAAGTAAGGTGCCTGTAAGACTTTTAAACTGCTAATGGACAGGACCTTTTTTTTTTTTTTTGGCACCCTTTACCTAATTCAGGACCTTGCAAATAATGGACACTTAAATGTTTATATGCTGCCTCAAATGGCAAAAAGAGATTTAGAGTTTCGATGAAATTTGAGAGGCATAGAAGTAAAGACATGAGATACATAGAGAAGTGATAGTTGAAGCTATGACAAACATTGGTTTGCAAGTGGAGAGAAGATAGGAAGAAAATAATAGGGAGAAAATAATTAAGCCTTAACTAGAATATAAAGAAAAGGTGACAAAAAAAGGGTACAGTTTTGGAAAGGACTTATTACATGTTTATTAACTCAATTCAAGTATATAATAATTTTCTCAGGTGGGTACTAATACCACTTCCATTTTTTTTTTAATAGAAAAAAGTAGAGGCACATGAAAGACTTGCTCGAAGTTACAAAGCTAGGAATTAGTGGAATCAGGATGTGAGTTCAAGTAGTTTATCTTTGTAGTCCTCTTCTCATTCACTACATCATAAAGTAACTACTTAAAAGGATGATAAAATGAAGTGTTAAAACACGGCATCTAACAAATGCCACTATAGCTCAAAAAAGGGAAAGATCGAGGTACTTAGGTTTAGCAGGAAAGCCCCAGGAGGAAGGATGACTCTTTCTTTGTGCTTGAAGTAGAGGGAAACTCTGAGTCCTCAGTGTCTCATGAGGGCTTTGAGATACGAAATGAACACAGAATAAAAATAGTGTTTTTCAATCTCAAAATATCAAACTAAACAGACTTGATCCATATGAAAACCATCCAAGAGAAACAAGGCATGATTTCAGGAGTGGCTTAGCTGGTGGCCTTGGCTGAGATATCAGGAACCACGTGGGTACAAAGCCTGGATCAATATTAAGGCCCATCAGCAAAGCAGGCCCTCACAGTCCATGTTTCATCAATACGGGATGAGAAAGGGGAGCAATTCCTCTCATTACCTGTCCAATTGAGTGTTCTCTCACACAGTGGTATTTCAGTCCTTGCTTTTTGAATTAAAGATATCTTATTGTAATTCTTGATGTAATGAGTTCCCCTTTTATTTAAATCATTATATTACAGGCAGAAATTTCAACAAGGATGGAGACCTTGTTGACTGGTGGACTCAACAGTCGGCAAATAATTTTAAAGACCAATCCCAATGCATGGTGTACCAGTATGGAAACTTCTCCTGGGACCTAGCAGGTGGACAGCATGTATGTTCACATTCTCTTGAAAAGTTTTAGATATATTCAATCTTTGTTGTTGTTGTTTTTATTGTTGCCTTTATTTTATTTGAGTATAGATGACACACAATGTTACCTTAGTTTCAGGTGTACAACTTAATGATTTGACAAGTTTATACACTGTGCTATGTTCACAAGTATAGTTACTATCTGTCCCATTACAGCCATTACAGTATCATTGACTGTATTCCTTATGCTCTGCTTTTATTCCTGTGACTTACACGTTCCATAACTGGAGGCCTGTATCTCCCCCTCCTCTTCACCCATTTTGCCCAAACCCCCACCCTCTCCCCTCTGGCACCCATCAGTTTGTTCTCTGTATTTATAGTTTTGATTCTGCTTTTTGTTTGTTTATTCACTTTTTTTTAGATTCCATTTATGAGTGGAGCCATATGGTATTTGTCTTTCTCAGTCTGACTTATTTCACTTAGCATAATACCCTCTAGGTCCATCCATGTTATCTCATTCTTTATTTATGACTGTATAATATTCCATTGTGTATATGTGTTGCCATGTTTCACTTCTTCCTTATCCATTCGTCTATCCATAGACACTTAGGTTGCTTACATGACTTGGCTAATGTAATGCTGCAATAAGTAAATATATCTTTTCAAGTTAGTGTTTTCATTTCCCCTGGGTAAATACCCAGTAGTGAAATTACTGGATCATATGGTATTTCTATTTTTAACTTTTTGAAGAATAGATATATCCAATCTTAAGTGCATTATCGATGCCTTCTTAATCCAAATACAGGTAAGGATCTTTAAGCATCTTTTGTTTTTTAACAGCTCAATGGAATTAATACACTGGGTGAAAATATTGCTGATAATGGAGGTATTGGCCAAGCATACAGAGTGAGTAATAATATTTTTTCCCATCGTAGTGATTGGAGTGTATATTTATCATATTTAATCATTCATTTAAAGCCTTTTGCAAAAGGCACATATAATGTAGGCAGCGAACAATGAATAGAAAGTAAAAAATACATGGGGGAAAAGGGGATGGTAAGTATGCTAACCAGAAAGGGCAGTATGGTTATGATTGAGCTGAACAGTCTAGGTTTCTGAGAGGCTGAGAAGAGGAAACCTGGAATGTTATATCAGCAAAAATGAGGAGACATGCAAGTTTCACAGAGGAAGCAACATTTTTCTAAGAAATAAGTTCTGAAATAAATGTTTTAGAAAAGGTGCGTCATCAAAAGGATTATTTTAGTCATTGATCAATGTACTAAATAAGACCCTCAGTTTCACAGCAGGTGAAGCAATATTTGGGAACTATAATCAGCATAAACCACAGTCCAGTTACAATGCCCCAGTGAGAGACTGAAGTGATATAGCTCCAACACATGGCCTTGTAGTCATCCAAACTATTATACCCAGAGGAGTATATTGATGGAACATCCCTTAGAATCTCATTTAGCCTTCCATTCATTCTTGCTTTCAACAAATACTTGTTGAGGACTTTACTCTGTGTTTGGCACTATTCTCAGTGTTGGAGACACACCTGTGAATCCTCCATAAAATGTGTCATTATTTGATGATTAGAGCAGGGATTAAAGGATGGTCTATTTGATGCCATGTGCACAAAAAAAAGTAGAGATTTTTCACAAAAGAGTAGAAGAATAATGGTCTTAGAAGCAACAAAAAGGAGTGACGGTAGTTTTGAGTGTTTCCTCCAACCCTGAGGTAGCTGACATTTGGGACAATGAGCAGCAACTGCTTGAGAAGGTACAGGGGACAAAGTGCCCCAGGAAAAACCAGACTTCTCTAAGACAAAGATGTATGTAATATTCTATGCAATGGATGAGGATGTAAGATTATTTGTCCACCATAGAAATGTATGCGTTAGAGGGGAGGGGGAGGGCCTCAGTGATTGGGCCAGGAAAGGGGAAGCTTCAGAACAGTGTAGGAGAGATGACTGGGAGGGCCTGTGTCTTGGCAGTGACCATGGATGATCCAAGTGTGTGGTTTGGGAGATTAAGCTGCCTGCAAAGTTTACAAAAGAATGAGTCCCAGCAGAATCCTGGGGGATGGTAGATTGATGCTCCTTTGAATGCTTGGTAATATTTTGACTAGATGCCAGGCAATGTGCATTTTACCTTGAGGGTGCTAGATATTTTTTTTTCCTACAAATATTTTGAGCTTTATACTTGGACATGATTAAATTCCTCAGAAATGGTTTGATCCTTTTGGACCTTGCTTTTACAACTTTTTAGATGGGACTAGAGTAGTGCTCAGTCTAGGGACAATTATTCTCCCCTGCTGAGGTAAGACCCTACTGTGTGAATCTTGAAAGGCCCATCTGATTTCTAGAGATCCTCTCCTATATAGCTTTCTCCTCTTTAGGACCCTGTCATTGGTGTCTTTGAACTCTCAGGTCCTTCTCCTCAACTAAGGCAGTCCCTTGGGCTCCAGTTGAGTTTCTCTTCTCTACATTGTCGCCTGGAAATGCTTAAGACAGTAAGCTGGGGCAATTATAGGGCTTACCTTATTTGTTTACCGTCTCAGAGGGATCACTCTCTTTTTTGCCAGATGTCCAGTGTTATGCACACCATTGTTTCATATATTTTGTCCATCATTTGTTTGTTTCAGCAGGAAGGTAAATCCAGTCCCTCTGACTCCATCTTGCCTGGAAGTGGAAGGCGTTGGCACCATTAATACTCCCACTGTTATTTCTAATATTCAGACAGATTAAAAATCATTGCTGTAAAAATGCAACCAAAATCTGGGTTGATGGTACTTCCATGAAGACCTTCACCTAAAACAAGTACAGACTTATTATAATGAAGCAGATTATAATTTGTGATACCTGGAATCATAGCATCTAATACTCTGTCCTATTGCTAGATAGTGAGCTCCCTAGGAGGGAGCAGTCTTCCCCATGTTCCTAGCATCTTTACATAATAGAGACTCAATAAATCTGTGTTAATGGCAAGGAGGAGGAAATGAAATATATCTTCTGCTTATCTAATTGATCACTTTCCTTTGTATTAAGCTGGAAGTAACACATCTCAGAAAGTTTGTTGTAAATTCCTTAAACATGTTTAGTAGAGGAAAACTACATTTTTCAATGGTATTCATAGAATTTTAAGAATTAAGGACATTTTCTGACATTCTAGTAACCTAAATTCCTTCTTCCTAATGTAACTGAGGTTCAGTCTATTTTGCCCTGTCTTCTGGGTACCACAATAATTGCTCATCTTTATTCTTAGAATCGTAGGGTACTAATTTTTAAGAGATCTTAAGGAATCCCTTGACTTTTGGCATGAATCATTCAAAGTCTGGTGTAAATCTTTTTTGCTAAGAGTGGTAACTGAGCTAAATATGGCAATTACAGACTGACTCCCTTGGCAATCCATTCTTCCAACTGGCAAGACTTATCCATTTATCTATAGAACAACATTTAGATAAGTTTTTTATCATTTATATAAGCCATCCATTCATTCAACTGACATTTATTGACCAATGACATTTTCAGAACATTTGTAAATGAATTCTGGTTTTCTTTCTAATCCATGAAATAGTTGTAGGTTGCCATATGTAAGTAGATTATTATGGTGATCCCGATATAAAAGGTTAATTACTGGATTACATGGTCTTTTGCACAGATTTATACATAAATTTAGAAAATTATAAACATCATGTTTCTATCTCATTAACTGCCTAGGCCTATCAAAATTATGTTAAAAAGAATGGTGAAGAAAAATTACTTCCTGGACTTGACCTAAATCACAAACAACTATTCTTCTTGAACTTTGCCCAGGTATTGTATTTTTCTTGATTGATAGATATGAAAATCATTTTGAGTTATAATTTCAGAGTTAATGAGATATTGCATGCTGAGTTTTCTTGTTTTAATCAGTTGTGGCAGAGCATTTGACTTGACTGACTTTCACTGTTTGTAACAGACTATTAGCTCATATTAATGGTAATTATGTTCCTGGTTGCCTATCACTGAACATTATTTGAAGAGTAAATGGTTGAGAAATGCAGAATTCCAATTTAAATTTTGCAATAGAAAGTGGACCTGCCCATACAAATAATCTTTGATTGAACCTAAGCACACTACTTTCCTTTATCTTCCTATCCCTAGGTGTGGTGTGGCACCTACAGGCCAGAGTATGCTGTCAACTCCATTAAAACAGATGTTCACAGTCCAGGGAATTTCAGGTGCGTGGGTTTGAACAGCAGTCAAGGTGCTCCAATATTGACTTCATTACTTCCACATTTGGAAATTGGCCTTTTCTAACTCTGACTATAAAATTTGGAAATCCACTGTTTTGTTTTGTTTTGTTTTTTCTTTTGAGGGTCATGGATAGAATCAACAGAACACAACAGGATAAATGTCATGTTTACATAAGCATAGCCTTGACTGCTCTTATCCTCGGAATTTATGTGACCTGTGCTTAGTGCTTGATGGATTCCAACAAAGATGTTGCCTGAGAATCATGTCCCTATTTAAAGCTAGCACAAAGACATTTTTAAGAGGCTATGAAAAGTTTAGGCCTAGCACCAATGAGTCGCCATTCCAAAGAAAGATTTCCATTCAACATAAAGAGAAACGTGGTTTAATTAGAGGTTGTCCAACATAAAATAGTTATCCCCAGAACTCCAGGAGAGAGTACCTTGAAGCAGAGGTCAGAGGACAACCCATCAAGGATGCTGGAGAGAAATGCTCTGTAGAGTGGAAGGTTGAGTTAGAAGAAATCTAAAGTCCTTCTGAGATCAGAAAATCTAAGAGAGCAATGTATTGAAAAAGAATCACTCTAACCAGCGTTTCAATGTTAAATCCTGGATCCTCATGTATCCAGTTTAGGACTAAATTATTAATGCTCCCCCTTCCCACATACTATAACACTTCATCACTGATTTACTGATCAACAACACTTCTCAGGCAGGAACTCTGAAAAACAAACTTAAAATTTCATAGAGTGGTTGGAAAACAGCTTGAGAACAAAAGAGAATTAATGGGCTGAGTTTTAAAAGCCCTTCCTAAAATAGATATAAACATATTGCCTGGATCATTCACTCCTGGGGAAAAACCACATTCAATTATGAAACAATGAAATAGCATATTTACAAATTAAAGAGTTTACTCAGCTTGTTCTAGTATCATCATCGTAATCACCATCATTTGGTATTTGCCTTAACTGTTCTTTCAAAATTCATTTGCTCAACAACTGTTTATTGTATACCCATTAAGTGTGTAATCCAAGGTAAATTCAGTCTTGCTAGAATAATCAAATTAACTTCTTTTTAGATAATGAGCAGCAAAAGTCACTGGATCAATTCCCATTGTAGTTTACCCAAGTAACTTTTTGTCTTCATTTTTAGAAGTTGTCTTTTTCCTTACTGAAGTCTTCAGAAGTGAAAATACAGGAATTTAATTCTGAAGACAACAGAGGGCAATTATTATAAGCTCACATAAACCATGATAACAATCTAATTGGTCAAAGCTCTTCCTTCCATATCCCCATGAACTAAAGCATATGTGCATAAAAACCTAATGAATTTAAGTAATATTATTGTAGTACCTGGTACATCTGGCATGCCCTCAGAGAATGGGGCTTGCAAATTGAAAGATTTTGATAGCTAAAATTTGTCGCTTGAGTATTAACATTTTCATCTTAACCACTGGATTAAAATTTCTCTGTTTAAAATACATTTTCTACCTTATTGCCTTATAAACACAGTATCCTGAACAAAACCTAGCTTTTTTTTTTTTTAAATGACACAGACTATTGTTATGACTATTAGTTGGCATTTTAGTGTGGTTTTTTTTTTGGTTTTTTTTGTTTTTTTTTTTAAAGATTTTATTTATTTATTTGACAGAAAGAGAGACAGCGAGAGCAGGAACACAAGCAGGGGGAGTGGGAGAGGGAGAAGCAGGCTTCCTGCTGAGGAGGGAGCCCGATGTGGGACTCGATCCCAGGACCCTGGGATCATGACCTGAGCCGAAGGCAGACACTTAACGACTGAGCCACCCAGGCACCCATTTTAGTGTTTATTAGTTTAGTGAAATCCTCAAAAGCTAGAGTATGGGGAGCTATTTATTCCTACACTAAAGAGCCACCAATGGGGATATGGTGATGCTTTTTTGACTTTTCATTTTGGCTTTTTATTAGGGTTTTCCTGTTTGTTTCTTCCCGAGTTCTCTTGGCTGTTACTACATTGCCTGCCTTTTGCCATCCCATTCCTTCATTCTGATTAGCTCAGAAAGCAGATCCTTATACTTGGTGAAAAAAATGAATGTAAGCTTTGAAGGAAGAAACACTTGAGTTCCACCCATGGCTCTGCCATTTATAAGCTGTTACTTAACCTTTGTGTCTCAGTTTCTAGATAGTTTAAATTAGGATTAAATTATCCTGAGAGTTGTTAAGAGGATTAATGTTAATATAGAAGTGTCTATTACATATATGTGTTTGAAAATTAGTGCTAGGATTATTTTTAGATAAGAAAGGTGTGAACAGAATAAGAATCCCCAGGGGTAAATATATGGACTTTGCAACATTTTTATTACCTGAGAGTCAAGGGCTTTTTGTTGCTCATTTCTTATGTCTGGATAGTTCAGAATGTCAATAACTGATCACTGATTAAATGATATATAGGTAAATACATAACTGTTTTCTACCCTCAATTTTAAACTGAAAACAATTTTATTTATAAATATGTAAAATTTGCTATCTGTAAAAATACATATTATTTTTTTTATAAAATATGTAAATTAGGGGCGCCTGGGTGGCTCAGTTGGTTGGGCGACTGCCTTCGGCTCAGGTCATGATCCTGGAGACCCGGGATCGAGTCCCACATCGGGCTCCCTGCTCGGCGGGGAGTCTGCTTCTCCCTCTGACCCTCCCCCCTCTCATGCTCTCTCTCATTCTCTCTCTCTCAAATAAATAAATAAAATCTTTAAAAAAAATAAAAATAAAATAAAATATGTAAATTATTCACAACTTTATTTGTAACTTTCTTTGTTCTGGTGCAAAAGATGCCTCTGACTATTTTTCGTTTCTAGTAAGAAAAGTATGTGTTGTTTTTTAAAAAGGGTAAATGGAATGCCAACCTTTTGTCAAGGAAGTTATTATTTTCTCTGGAGGTAAAGGGATTTCCTCGGCAAAAGGTTGAGGTTACATTTAGTTTTGGAAACAGGCTGCTTCCTGGCTGTACAAAGTAAAACATATTTTTTTAAAAGCCTTAAAAACTAATAGACATTGAATTGCTATTGAGAAATTGTGCATAGTGGTTTGTGTAGAAACATTTCTGAAATAGAGATTTTGTAACCTTATGCTTAAATACGGCAGTATTAAAACAAAAGGCAAAATATACTTGATATAAAGCTGCATCTATAAAACCATTTGTTAGGTTTGAACTGTAATTGTTTTAGTCTTCCTAACTAAAGTCTTACGTACTTTAGATAAACTTTTTTTTCTTTTCTTTTCTTTTTTTTAAAGATTTTATATATTTTTTCACAGAGAGCAAGAGGCAGTGAGAGAGGGAACCCAAGCAGGGGGAGTGGGAGAGGGAGAAGCAGGCTTCCTGCTGAGCAGGGAGCCCGATGTGGGGCTCTATCCTAGGACCCTGGGATCATGACCTGAGCTGAAGGCAGACACTTAACGACTGAGCCACCCAGGTGCCCCTATAAACTTCTAAAACTTTAGTATTTAGAGAGAAATTTATTTATTTATTTATTCGTTTGAGAGAGAGAGAGAGCATGAACAGGAAGAGTGTCAGAGGCAGAGGGAGAAGCAGACTCCCAGCTGAGCAGGGAGCCTGATGTGGGGCTTGATACCAGGACCCTGGGATCATGACTTGAGCCAAAGGCAGAAGTTTAACCGACTGAGCCACCCAGGCACCCCCAAAACTTTAGTATTTAAAATAAAAACACTTCCCCTTGATGTTCTAGAAATTGAACTCACAATTTAAATGACTTCTTTTTGGAAATTCAGTTTCTGTTAGCCATCCCCATCACTTGGAATGGTTGTTATGCTAATATTTACCATATAATCTACAGATGTGTCTCTAAAGTTATTCAGATGTAATACTTCTAAACAATATATAAGGGTCTGATAAGTTTTTTAAAGCAAGTTCAAAGGCACAAAGTGAAACAAATGTATACACTACCTAAATAGTAAAGGTGCTCATTTAGATGCTTATGATGCTTACATGAAATTCATGTAAGTCCTTTATGTAAGCACTTTACAGAACTAACACCACTGATAAAGCAAGACGTTTTTTCCACAGCTTAATTTCTAGTACTTTTTGTAAGATATTCTTTCTAGCGTTGTATGTAGACATTTTTAGGTAATATGGCGATTTTTTTCCCTATTATTCCATGAGTTAGTATATGTATGCTAAATCCTGTTTGAAATACTAATGTTTCTTCTATTTGCCTTAAATATTAGCACTGGTTTCTGATAATTTGTAAATGTCAGTTTGGATTTTGGTGAACCTTGTAGCACTTGTTAATCTTCAAACCACATCTGGGAATCTATTCAGGCATTTATTTCTTTGTGAATTTATAGTGGAACATAAGCTGATCAATGTGACCTTCCTTTAACAAAACCATGAACAACAGTTAACGATAAAGATTGGATAGTTTATTTATAAATGAAGCTAGTTAACCTTGTAAACAAGTTATTCATTTAAAAGAATTACCAAGGGATGCCTGGGTGGCTCAGTCGGTTAAGCGTCTGCCTTTGGCTCAGGTCATGGTCCCAGGGTCTTGGCATCGAGCCCCATAAAGGGCTCCCCGCTCGGCGGGAGGCCTGCTTCTCCCTCTCCCACTCCCCTTGCTTGTGTTCCCTCTCTCGCTGTCTCTCTCTCTCTCTCTGTTAATTAAATAAATAAAGTCCTTTTACTAAATAAATAAATAATAAAAGAAGTAACAAAAGGTTGTCAGAAGACCAATTAATTGCAAAAATCTCATTCAGTAATTAAAAAATCCAGTTAGGCACAGGCAGGAGTAGTCTTCTTGGTCACCTGATGTTCAACTCCATATCCCTTAGATGTTTTTAAAACAAGTGATTATTTGCCAAGGGAATAAACAACAACAGTATAATAAAACATTTTATATAATAAAGTCAAAATTTCAAGTAAATCACTTTAAGACATAATCAATAAAAGCCATTTATCTTCTGTTATCATAAACACAAACATTTCACAGTTTTAATATAGCATGAAATTCATATAAGTCCTTTATGTAATATTAATGAAAGATGACCCCACTCTTAAGAGAAGGGAGTCATTTGATTAATAATGTATCTACTTTCTGAAATAGATTATTTATGTCATCTATCCAAAGAATTAATGTAAACAATAAGACATTAATCAGAGTCATGGGAAGGTAAGTGAAGTCCTGGTACATGGTTGACCTAATTATTCAGAACCAAATGATCTAAGTGAAGCTTTTGGATGGAAAGAGAAGAGCTGGAATGGAAATGGAGAGCTGAGTGTGCATTAGGTTGAGTGTTGCTACATGGCTAACTGCCATTGGTGCTTTGTGAAGACTTCCCTTCTTTGAGGTGTGTGGGTTTTTTGTTGTTTTTTTTTTTTTTCATTTCTCTCATGTTTTTATGACAAATGTAGAATTAAGTCATGGGTTTGGACATTTTACTGAAGTACTTGTGCCCATATGATTATACCTAAGACACAGCCCTTTAAAAAAAAAAAAAAGTTTAATAAAATGAAGACAAAAAAGAGCAGCTCTTCTAGTCACAGGATCCCAGATGCTTTCCCTGTCCATCAGGGAGCTTGCTGCTCAATTTGAGGAACAATCAGGTCATCGTGATGACTGCCACTCAGCTAGCGCATAGGGCTTCCTAAAGTGGAAAGGGGATGGAATTAAATGAATCAAAGTTTCTCTCTGTCTCAGAGTTCATGAGCCTAGAAACTTAAAAGACTAAAGACCAATACAAATTCCTGATGTCTAAAATCTTTTTATTCCTTGGGGCGCCTGACTGGCTCAGTAGTGCATGGGACTCTTGATCTTGGGGTTGTGAGTTTGAGCCCCATGTTGGGCATAGAGATTACTAAAAATAAAATAAAATCTTTTTATGACCACTTTTGACCAAGTATCAGGTGAATTTGTTCCTGGACTTTCAGATATAAGAAATGACACATCATCATCATCATTATTATAGCAAATTAATTCCATCTCCAAACTCCCACCCTAAGCAGGGAGGTAAGAAACTTAATTTCAGTAGTTTTCAGTGTACTCCTTTTTAGGGTTGTACAGGAATCCAAAGACCCAGAAATTAGGGAATTAGTCTCCACCTCCAGCCTGCCATGGTCACTGCTGATATCTCTGCAGTTTAGAGGCTCCATCTGAAGTCAGGTGGCTCCATTTCCTTCTGGTGGTCATGGGCAACAGCCTCAGGAACCACTGCTCTTGATGTTCAGGCTCCCCCACATTACATGCCATCCTATCAGAGGCCTCTCAGGGCCCTGCTCACAACGGGAGGAATGTCTTTGTCCTTCACACAACCCACAATTGCTGGGCCCCTCCTCAGCACTGGGGAGGCCAGTCTTCTCCATCTCAAGTGGACTAATAGATATAAATTCCCCAGCTCTGGCCCCCACCCCACCTCAACACCCCCATACCAGGAAGATTCCTGTTAATCTTTAGGACTCCTCTAGGAGTACTAAGAAAAAACACACAACCAAAAAAGTTTACATTCTCCCTGAAGGATAGGGGAGTTGTGATGTTGGGGCTGGAGAGATAGTTGATGTGGTAATGGTTGACACATTAGGAAGTCAGACTTTTAGAAATTAGGTATGGATCTGTCTTTCCTGGAATGGGGATAAGGAAAAGAAATGCTTGCTTTTTCTCAAAGTTGGTCCATAGTTGCAAATAAACACAAAAATGCTAAGTAGTGTTTTTCTTTATAATGACCTATTCCTCCTGTACATGTAATCACCATGACCAGCTGACAGGGTCATTTATTCAGTTAGTATGTACTGACTCCTACAGTGTACGAAGCACTGTGGTAGGCTTTGCGGGGAGGGCAACAGGGAGCAAGAGATACACAGTATTTTGCCCTCAGATTACAGTGTAGTGGTGATGTCACGAAGTAAAGAAGGAGAACAAATCATTGTGAACCAATAGGGCTACTACAGGTGGGAGGAACTAATTTGGACATTCTTTGAAGAAAGCCTCTGAGGAGGGGTATTTAAGTAGAGGCATGAAAGCTGAGAAGGAGTAAATCATGGAGTCACTGGGCAGTAACTTTCAAGCGAGTGGGGTCCATAGGAGCAGAAGGCCCTAAAGAGGGAAAGAAATTGGCTGGTTTGATGAATGGAAAGTCGGTCTGTGTAGTTTGAACCTGATGAGAAACAGGAAGAGAAACGTACTATGAGGAGGCTGGGAAGGTCGGCTGGAGCCCTCAGAACATTGGAGGCCATGGAGAGGAGTTGAATTTCATTCAAGCCCCTGGAAGATTTTAAGGAAGGGAATTAGGGGATTTGACTTAAACTTTAAAGGTCATTCTGCTGTGTGGAGAATGGGTCAGAGGAGATAAGACTGCAAAGATTTATACTCAGCACACCTGGCATGTATGGAGATCTCAGTAATTAGAACATACTCTCCTGTCACTTGCCTGAGATCTTCCCACCACCCTCGTCTGTTTGCCTCCCTGCCCTTCCTCCCAGCCCAAGGTGGGTGTGGTGGCATGGTCCCAGTAGGAAGAGAAAGGAAGGAGGTGGTTTGGGGTTGGTGTGAAAGCATCACCTCTGCATCATTGTACTGACCTCTCTCTCCCTTCAAATGCTGCTTGGTGCCGCCAGTGGGTCGGACAGTGTTGTTTTTGCCCACTGGGGTCAGAGATAAGAAGACATTGACTTTTTGCCAGCCCTTTCCAGTTACTCAGGCTGAATCCAGTTTCTGATATCTATGAAGTTCTTTTGGAAAAACGAAAATAATGATCTTCCTTATTAGATCAAATCAACAAATACCTATTTAAAGTCTATTATATGTAAGTAATTGTGTGAGCCCTTCCAAGATGTAATGAAAAATCGTGATTTTATTTTTGACCAAGCTCTTCTTATAATAACTGCAATTCTGAATATGAACTATTCATTTATTTTACAACACGCATAGGGTGTTTATTAGTTAACTCCCCGTGACAACCATAAGATGCAGGTACTATTATTATACGCATTTTACAGAAAAGGAAACTGAAGCACAGAGAGCGAAATAAATACAACTCATACGCAGTATTCAAGTCACACAGTCTTCAAAATCTGTGCTCCGATACTTTGTTACTTGTCCATTTAAAAATTCTGGTAATGAGTAGAACTTTTTTTTTCCTCTCAAGCTGTAAATTCCAAATTCCGTCAATAGGCCTACATCGAGAAATTCTGTAAACCTCCTACATGGCATGGGCCTAAGTATCAAATGCTGATGTGACTTTTGTTTGTTTCACAGGATTATTGGGACTTTGCAGAACTCCCCTGAGTTTTCAGAGGCCTTTTACTGCCGCAAGAATTCATACATGAATCCAGAAAAGAAATGCCGAGTGTGGTGATCTTCGGAGAAAGCGATGTGGCCCTTGGCTAGACTTGCCAACACCACAGAAATGGGGAACTCTGTCCACAGAAGTCATTGTAATTACGTAGGATGACAGGGCATCATATTAGAAATGAAGTTAGGTTATTCTGGAAAAGGTGTGGAGAGAGGAGGGGGGTGTCTGGTGTCTATCAAATCAATCACTTCTCACTGTGTAAATAATGCTTGATCTCTAAAGATATTACCATTCATTTCTGTTCCTCATATGATCTGCCAGTTGATGTCGTCTCTTGAAAACAATGTTAACCCCTTGATGTAGACTGGGATTGCTAATCAAAGGGAAATTAAAGAGATTGAAGCATACAGTTGGCTCCAAAAGCACAGCAGTGGCATGAGGGTTAAAAACACATTGCCTAACTACTTATTTTTACTTTTATTTGTAACATTTTCACTCCTACAGAACTCTTCCAAAGAATTCTTATACATACTGGGGCCTTGGGACTTCATGTAATTTTAAACCGATTTTGCCAATCATCAGTTTATTCATTCTGAGATCATTTTATTTTAAGCTACTCTTAGGGCTAAAATGAATGTCTGAAACTGTTTTTCATTGTACCTGCTTTCACCAATACTGAAATTCTTGAGGGTCCCTACAATTTTCTAAGCAATTTCTTGTTCTCTCTCTCTCAAAACTTGATCTTTTTAAGAGATTTGTAGTAATGTATAAATAATAATTTTTATATTTAATTATTAACTACATTTATGGCTAAGTAATTATTATTATAGGTAATCATTGAATATTGACATTTCCGACAGAGATAAATAGTTACGGACCAAGATCTGTAAAGTGATGTACAGATGAAGATTTGAGACTTTTTAAGCTTATCAATCATATTGATAAAAAGCTTGAAGCACAAACTCTGGGTTAAAAATTGCCATTGGACAGTTGTCTGAAGCAGAATTTTCAAAATAAACTCTGTCCCTGAGGTGGCTATGAGAAAAGGACAAAACTGCATCTGTGTAGCTCTGCATCTCCTTCTCTTTTCAGGTTTGTCATCTGATGGAAATATTTTGATCCTAAATCGGAATTGTGAGCCCGTTACTCACTGAGCCTGCTGTGGCATCAGTCTAGCTCTGGAGAGTGCATTTCTGAATATAAATGAGAGGCTTGCCCACCTCGGACAGACCTGCCTCTGAAATCCGAACTCGCCTAGAGTTCTGGGAGGGGCCTGTCTAGTCCCTGCTAGGAACTCATCTCTTGAGGCTTTGTCTTCTTCTCTTTCCCTGTCATTTTGGCTAATTTGGTTAACTTCATTACTTGATTAGTATTTTACAAAAGAGGCGTTTTCCTTATTTTTCCTAACAAAATGAAAATGAGGGAATTTCTATTCAAAATATGAGTGTTGGTTTTCTTGCTTCTTGAAAAATGCATTTATTTACCTTTTTTTAAAAGTTATGAAAATGCAGCGTATACCCAAAAGTTTCATTAAACGTAAGTGTACAGCTCAGTGAACTTTCTCCAACTGAACACAGCCCTGTAACCAGCACCTTTAAGAAACAAAACATTACTAGTGCCTTAGAAACCCCTTCTTCCAACTACCACTTCCTTCCTTCAAGGACGACCACTGTCCTGACTCCTAATATCACACATTAGTTTTAATCGATTAGCATGTATTCTTTTGTGTCTGGCTTCTTTCTCTCGTGTTACATTTTGAGATTCATCTATATTGTTGCATTCGATTGTGGATCTCTCATTGTCATTACTCAATAATATCCTATTGTGTGATTATACTACAATTCATCCATTCCATTGTTGATAGGCATGTGAGAAGAAGCTTCCAGTTTGGGGCTATTACAAATGGTGCAATTATGAGTATACATACTTGCATATTACCCATCTTTTTTAACTTGAGATTTTAATGAGCTCATTTCCACAAACATTTCGTCAAGTTATTTTAAATATTGAAAATATAGTTTTCAACTAACCATGGATATCCTCCTATTCTTCTTCTTATATCACTACCACCATTATTATGGGTAATTCAAAGTATACTTGTGGATATATTTCCTTAAATAAACTGCAAACACTTACAAGTAAGATTCGTGGTTGGAACATTAGGAGCGCCCAGTTCTGAAGAGAACAACTACCTTTGAATCATTTAATTTCCATCCTGTCAGAGCAGCTGAAGAGCAACTAGTACAAATTACAAAAAGACACTAGATTCCCCACTCTTTAAAACATCAGACTCCCATCTTTATGGAAGGACTTGAGTGACATTTTCGGGGGGGAAAAAAGCCTTTCTAATGCCTGGATCTCCTGTGTCTAGAAATATGAGATTTCCTGGGAGTGAGGGATACACCCAAGTGAGAAGACCAGTACCTCCCCCTCTCTCACACGTGAGGATATTATTAATTGTATATGGCATCGTTGTTGAGTTGTATGGGTCTCTCTCAACCAGTCCCAATCATTTGGAGTTGTTTCATCAGATAAGGCCTATCTGTAATTCACGCATAAATCCGATTTCACTATGGCTGAATCCTGGTCAAAGAAAGACTTTAGAAGCTGAGACACTAAGGATTGGGAGCTAATATAACTCAGGGATGAGGCTAGAAAGAAGTTCTCATTGGTGAGGAGTCTGCCTCCATGCTGCAAAGTCCATGTGGATTCTGGGCATGAGGTGGAAAGAATGCTATCTTGGGAGAAGAGTCTATTCTAGTCCTAGTCTGCCATTAATGACAAGGTGACCTTGGGCCTTTGATCCATTCTCTTGGGCCTTTGCTTTTCCCACCTGAAATAAAAGAAATTAGATTCTATCAGTATTCTCAACAAGAGAAGGAGAATGTGTCCAAAACTTCTTTGCTTGTAATCTGTCCCCCAGTGAAGAACCACTGCATAAGATAATTTCAGAACTCATGTAAATACCTGAGTCCAGTTAGACCACATTGTAGTTCAAAGACAAGGACTAAAGTTTGATCTCCTTAGGGTCCATGCTGCTCTTACTAGTTTTCTCTAAAGCCTTTATTATTCCTGTTGTCTCAGAGGGAATTCTCAAAGTAGAAGATAACTGTTAGTTTGGAAATGAGACTTGCCCTGTCAAAGATAGAAAATCAGAAAGTTTTATCAGTTCCAGTCTCAAAAATACAAAATAAAAACAAACATTTTTCATAGTACTGCTTTTCTGCCTATTCCAGGCTCCCCTATGTCTTGAAAAATGTTATGGCCAAATGGAGCTTTCGTCCCTGCCGTCTTACACTTCCTACTGGCCTCAAATTGGGTCTTTTAAAAATGAATGATATAAACTATTTCACCAATGTTTTCTTGGGTATGCCACCCCATTCTTCCAAAGATACCATGGTTTTCTGATCCGATTTCTTTGCAAAAGTTCAGTGAAAAGGTTGCCAAGTGTTATAGAGAGTCACAGGTATAACCAGATGACGGCTTAGGCAGAAACAAAAGTTGTCTTTGTGCACCATCCCTGGGCTGAAGGATTTGACTTGATTAATCAGGTGAAGAGAGGACCCACCTGTGACTGTTGTCAAAGTGGCACATGTATATTGCATTCTAATCTCTTCTTTAACAATGTTGCATTTCCTCTAAAACAGGGAGAAATACTACTGTTATTTTCCACTTTGTAGCCAGACTCCTATGCTTCTATTTTGTTGTTCGACAAAGCAGATCCTCTAGGTTGTGCAAAAAAAGCCTGACAGAAAAATGAGCATAGACTCTTGCCAGAAATAATGATGGGCTCTCAGCTTGAACAGTGCGGGAAGACCGGAAGTCTAGCAATTGTGACTAAGTTTTATATTTCTGAATTTCCTTTCCACCCAGAAACTAACAATAATTTTTTCAAGTATCAGACAAAAATGGGGTCAAGTACAGTATCTGGATTATCTGTTTACCTTGGTGCAAATCTTTCAAAACACATGCTATCAATGCTCTATGTCTCCTGAAATATGGCATCAAAGATGCGAATCTAAGATGTTCGTGGCAGCTCTACCTTTAATATCAAAGCAATAGGAAGGAAAAAACGAAATAGGAGAAACTGTTTAGATTTGTTCAAAGAAAATATCAAGAGGCTGCAATGATAGATATGCATTATGATTATGTTAAAATATTGTTGCATAGAAAAAGAGTTGGAAGAATATATGCCAGAAATTAGTAGGGAATATCTCTGAGTTGGTAGTATTATAGGTGATTCTTATTTCATTTTTTCCTCTGCATTTTAAATATTTCTATGAGGTGAAAACATTACACCTTAAAAGTCATCTAAAAATGTTACTTGGAAGAAAGTAGGAAATAAGGGAGAGAAGATGGAAGGGAGAGAAATGGGGGAAATTGAGCCCCCCCCAAAAAACCTAATTCCTTTGAATTTAAGATGTCTTCATTTATTTAAGAAGCTATTCAGTTTTGCAGCTCAGGCAACTTAGACCCAAGGAATCCAGTGATGGAGATTTTGGTCAGGAACCCCCTTGCCCCACAACAGGCCAGATCTGTTTCCCAAGGTGGCTTTGACACACACTGCTTGACACAGAGCAGGGGAATTTTCAGACCTTCCATTGACTGTGCTCAAAGTGGCTCACTGAGAACAAACCCTGTGCTCCAGAGGGCTTTTGTTCTTTATTCCCCCTGAAGATACTAATCTTGCCACTCTCTCCCACCAGGTCTCCCCCCACACAACACCCTAGCATTTACCAAATCCTAGCCGTGGTTAAGGTTACAGCCTATAACTAAAACAGTAGCCAGTAAATTATACAGTGATTGGCCGAAATGCTCTACCTGGGAGGCACCATGATTTACCTGGGGGTCAGATACTAAAATTTAGAGGCTGAACAGGGAGGAAACAGCAGGATACAGTGAATCCCAGGTAACTCCCTGCTTACGTGTGTTTCTTTTTTACTTTGGTCATAAATGAAGATCACACTCATGCTAGTTTAGCCAAAACTAGAGATTTTCTTGATCCACGATACCAAATGTGGGGTATGTCTGAGTGATCGGTCCTTCTTTCCATGTGCCTACCTTATTGTTGCAGACTGCCTTTCTCCAAAAGAAAGCCATGATGGTCAACCGTGCCCAGGCTCAAAGATTCTCTGCTTCCTTCACAGGGGAAGGACAGGATCTAACTACAGTCCACTTTTAATATCCTAGAGAAAACCCAATGAAAATCCTAGAGAAAAAGCCCATTTTGGAAACATGTCTACCTCAGTGGAAAGGGCATGGGGAAGTGGTGAGGTTGTACAAACTATGATCATTGATCCCCTTATCCTGTCCTCAGAGAAGGGTAGCTTTCCAAAAGAAAAGAAATCACCATTCCTAAGAGAGAAAGCAAAAGAAACAGATATCCGAAACACTGGTAACACTAGATACTTCTTAAATGCTTTGCAAGATATCTCAGTTTGGATTTCATTGTACATACTAAATTTTGAATAAGTGTCAACTTTAATTTTGTGTAATCAAAATGAAGATATGCATTTTAGTTAGAAAAGCAGACTGAAAGTCAATAAAAGGGTAAAAAGGAAGAGAAATAATATTTATTGTGAGCAAGACACATAATATAGGTTGTTTGTATAGAGTTTCCACTTAATATAACTAACCTGTGAGGTAATGTTGGTACCCCTGTTTTATAGATGGTGAATTTGAGTTTCATAGAGGTTAACTAATTTGCCCAATTTCACACAGGTAGTAAATGATAAGGCCAGAGACCAAACCAGGGTGTGTTGAAGTCCAAAATCTACATAAATTTACCATCAAAGCTCTCTGTATCACTATAAAATGCATTTCAGCCCATCAAAATAAACTCATTTGTGGCTAATAACTCCCAAAACACATCCTTTAAGAAAAACTAATGAAAAATATTGTATTCTCCAATACTTCTATGGCTTTACAGAAGCCACTGTGATTTTTAAAAGAACATTAAGTATTTTGAAGTTATACCAATAGATACTTCTAGAACATCTGCTCTTCAAGGTACTGTATTAGAAACAAAAATAAAAATAATTAGAAAAGAAGAATAAGACAAAGTAATAGTCTTTGGCTGGCACTCCACTTATTTACTACATCCATTCACTTTTTCCTTGATGAAACATCAGGCACCTTTACGCACATAAAAAGGCCTATGAGATTATCTTTTACTGGGCCACTAGAAAAGAAAAATAAATGAAGACAGCTGGCCTTTTAATATAGTAGAGACATCAAAAATGTACACAAATAAATGCAGCTGAATGTGTGATGTGCCAAGAGATACAAGAAAACAAACTTTGAGAATTCAGAAAAATTTTCTTTCCTAGCATGCCAGGCATTCCAGAAGCAGTAACACCTACGTTGCAGTTGGTAATATGGATGGGATTTTGACAGTTGGAGAAGGAGGCAAGGAAGTATATTGGCTAAGTGTATCTCATATAGAAAATTAGCCAACAAATGAGTAAGAAGTCCACATTAACACTAGCAAAGACAGACCTTTGCTAAGGGGACTATTCGCTGAGAATTTTGACACAGCTATCCATTGTTCGCCGTTGGCTTTTTGACATGTCTTGTAAGCATTTCTTGAAAGAAAAGCTTCCCTTATTTATTCAGAGATCTTATGCTATTTTCAAAGTTTCTTCATTATCACTCCACTTTGAACGAAGTCCTGTGCATTTCTTGCATTTGCTAGAAATTGTGTGATAAGGATATTACTCCCACTCCTGGAAGCTTGGAATTCTACTCTTATTCCAGTCCTGTTACTAAATCACTACATTTAGCAAATAACGATTTCTCTGCATTTCCATTGTCTTAGAGTTAAAATCAGAGTTAAGATCAAAGCCTTTTCAAAACCAGAAGGCAGGCAGATGGAATATTTTGCAAAACGAACTCTTTGGAGATGATGAAAGATAGCATCATGCAGAGGAACTAGGGCACAGTGTTATGGAAAAATCTGAATCCAGAGAGAGTCAGATAGACCCAGGGACACACAAGGTCAAAGCAAAGACCAGCCAAATGACTACATGGCAAGCATTTGGCTCCTCTATGCCTCAATTTCCTCCTCTTCAAAATGGCCATAATCACATGCACCTCTCAGGGAAGGTCACTATACTGGTCGCCAGCAAATGCAGCACTGAAAT